ATATATATAAATATATAAATAATTGATAATTATTAGACGATAATCTTTAATATTTAAGGCAAATAAAGAGACGGAAGAGATATATATATACCAACTCTCACGAATATATATTATAACTATTAATTATATATTACATGATATTATTATGGCGATTGCAATTATTAACGAGCGCCCTGCGCACTGCGCGTGTCCGCGTAAATACATTACATAATAAATAGACACATGCGCGTTCACACCTGGGAAAGACTTTGTTTCTGGGCTTTCAAGTTTTAATCGTATGCGCGGGAAAGGTTGAGGAATTTAATGGCGGCCGAGAAAAACGATGACGCGGGAAAGAGAGAAAAGGAGAAGAGGGATAAAGGCTGACGAAAAAGTAGAGCGGATAAATCAAGAGATCTTTTTTGCTACCCTTTCTCTACGTCTGCACGTGCAGATATTCAAGCTCCTTCTTCTCTCCCAACGTGCCTTTTCGCTGGTTAAATGGCGGAACGGTGCTTCTCTCCTATCCTGTCGCAGTTTTACTTTCCCGGGTGCGCAACGAAATAACAGAAGGATATAGCGGCAAGTGAGTGAGGGAGTTACATACGTAGGCGTGTTATATATTTGACGTCACGCTGTTAGCATTATTTGCGGATAGAAGGAGAGACATGCAAGAAAGCTGCGTTGAATTTATCGGGCCGTCGAGATAAGTCCGAAACAATGAGAAACGTAATATCGGAAGACTTCCAGAAGGAAGGAACAGTACTAGATGATATTGTTAGAATTGCAGAGTAGCATTTTATCCATATTGCGTTGTTTATGTTACAAAATAAACAAATGTGCTTAATGCATGAATATGATGTACTATTGATTCATGATTATAAATTTTATAGAAAAAATATAATGATTTACGCCATTATAAGATATTTTGCGGTAATCGAATGAGTTTACAAGCCATCATTCATCATTTCTTTATTACTATATTGGTTGTAGCTAACTTATATTACGGCGAAATCGTTTACGGCGATAACGATGTCTTTACTTTTAAAAAAAGAAAAAAGAAAGAAAAAGAAAAAAAGAAAAATAGAAGACAAAATGACAATGATGGAAATAAGGATGGTGAAAATAAGGATTTATGCTATTCTGTAATTCTAATTGACATTGAATGCTCGCTTCAAAGTTCCGCTCGGAGCTTCCGCTTTCGGAGGCGCCGGACGATGACTGTTATGAATCTAATCGGCCACTGTATAGCTTTAAAACCGATTACGTGCAGTAACCCCCGTTATATATACACATATATTACGCGTACGCGAATTACCGTATAATTAATTTAAAATAATGCTGTATATGCATGACCCTATAGACGAGCCAACGCGATAAAATAAGAAGAAGATACGAGAGTTTTTTCAGCGGCAAACAACCGCAACACACTTTACACAAACACACACGCACACGCGCACACACGAGAACTACGAAACACATCCCCGGCGTCTAATCGTCTAAGGCTGAGTTACACCGATAGACTGGATTAACTAATTCTGGTTAGCATATGAGTCTAGCAATTTGATCTTTATTAGATTATAATCCTTCTTATATATAACACAAGACAGAGAAAGTTTAGTTAACCAGCGTCGGTGTCAACCAATGTAGATGCAAACTTAAAATTCATACAGAGGGAGATCAAACGATCGGAAAAAGATCGAGCTGAAGAAAAAAGCTAGCAAATGTATACATAGAGATATGGCGTAATCTTCGTCTGCGATGTACTGAGCATCGGTCGACGATACATCTTAAATGCTAACTTAACAGGAGGACGAGGAGGTATTAAAAAAGAAAAAAAGAAACAGAAAACCTAAAATTATGCGAGAGAAAGATCGAGAGCGAAAGGAATAGGGAGAAAGACGATAAGAGCGTGCGTGAGAGTGCGAAAAAAAGCGTTACACTTTAGAATTAAAACATGCGGTCGCTAATTAGCGTCGCGATTAGATCTAGGGACTAAACGGGCTAGCGAGGAAAGACATAAACGTGAGAGTGAATATTATATTATAATCTATATATCGCAAAAATATGACTGGACATCGGATGTTGCGTTCATTCGCGCTTCCAGTAATACAATTGTGGGCGTTAAAAGGGGCCCAAAGTCCGCTCGATGAAAATGAAAGGTGGGCCCCTTTTGAAACCCAAATCTCAATTGGACTATGCTATACAATGCAGAAACAAACGACGTTTTTAATTCAAATGTCGAATTCTGAAGTCGTTCTCTTGCATTCTCAGCGAACGCTGTTTGATCACTCTTTTTTTTCAAAGGATATCATTCATTCTAAGTTGTATAATGCGGTCCAATTGACGAGTGAATGAGCGAAGATCGAAAGATTTCAATGGACTACTCGTGATTGGTTTAGGTTTAAATTTCTCGTAATCTTATATTACGCGAAAAGATGAGAGGAATTTTTCAATTAGCGTAAGAATGAAATTGATTTTTCAAAAAATGAACTTCTCAGACGAGAAAGTGATCGATATTTAGTATTACTTCTTTGAATAACCTAACAGTCTAATTATGTAAAAATTTAATGTATCGCTATCATAATGAATTATCAACGTGAGCCATTATTATCATTTATAAGTTAGGTTGTATCAACAATCATGTTCAATTAATTCTTGTATTATTGGTTTGATATCTCTTTTTTTAGATTAAAGTTCTAACTATAATATAAACAAAAGAAATGTAAATTTCATATTACTTTTGATTCGTATTAACTGATTTTAGAACAGCTACTTGGATTTTTATTACGCACGCATTTTTTTTTCATGTATCACGGTATTGCATTCTAAAAATGAATGATAGTAAATTGTTCTTTTTGTACACACATCTCGTCTATACAATCGTATTATAAAACCTTTCGATTTTTAGGACGTAAAGAAAGCAATCGTTAAAGTGTGGTAAAATAATAGTGCATTTAAAATATATAATACATGAATGCGCGAAATATCTTGCCACATGTTGACAGAGGAATTTGTGAAAGATTCCTCCCTTCTTTCTGGTGACAAGGGCCACAGCACCCTTAATAAATTATGCGCGTAATATATATAACTGGGACATTCGCGTTTTGTTGATATCGCTAAATAAATATAGTTCCTTATTATCATTACTATAATTGAATTCGCGCAAGAAAATCGAGTCATCAGTCGATTAATTATAATTATATAAACGATGAATAAATGCGCGATTATTATGTACGTGCTGTTATTATTATTATTATATTAAATAACAGGGTAAACAAAAAAAAGAGAATAACTTTAAATTAGATACATGCGTCACGTGGAACGGCAACCACTTTGTTTTTTCCCGATGAATGTGCACGCAACAGAGGAAAAAGAGGAGAAAGAGAGAGAGAGAGAATATAATATGCGTGCAAAACGAGTCAATTCTTAACGAACGTTAGCAATACTTTTTCATGACTACAAAGAGACGTACAGTGACAGAATAGTGGAGACTAGGGGGTATTGACAAAAAGTCACAGTATTCTTAAGTTCCTAAATTATGTACGCGATATGTATAAACTCGGTTTGAAAGGAGCAATGCATCGAGAATACGGAAAGAGGAACGGAGTGGACGAACTATCGCATGTGTCACCCACGTTTTGTATACCGCCCATTCCCTTGTGAACAAAACAAAATGATAAAATATATCTCATTATAACCCAGAGATTGATAAAGCGTGAAAGAGAGAAGCGCGTGATATCTTCAAACAAATATTCAAAATAAACATATTGCACATAAGATATAAAAAAGTGATTAACCTTATCCAGACGATTGCCTTTTTTAATCAAAAGTATAAATAATTTTTTTGTTTTGGAATAGCTATTATTTGATAAAAATTGATATTGTGTGTATGATAAACAAAAGTTAACATATATTTTAAGTGCATTGGAAGTGATGAATCAAATATCAAAATAGATTCGAAACATTTTTTTTTTTTTTATTTACAAAAATAGAAGATTAAAATGTTGATTGCTGGAAAAAAATAATTTGGCTAAATATAAATGTGATTAAATACACTATAAAGTAGAGATAATTTGTGACTACAATACCATTCTGACTTGAAAGCCGATAAAAACGAAAGCATGCGGCTAATAAACTTGCAATTGAATATACACGATAGAGGAAAAAATGCTATGTTCACAATATCCTCTTCATAAAGTTTAATCGGCTTTTTATTAGCTTAATACATTAAAATTAAGTTAATATATAAATAAATGATACCAAAATTATGTTAAATTTATTATAATATAACAATC